AATATATTGTTAACTTTCCCAGATAGGTCCAAATTTGGACATACACACACACACACACACACACACACACACACACTCTTAAATAAGCCTAGCATATAGAATGTGATAAAAGAAAAAAAAAAAAGAACATGAAGCTTAGAGTCAGATGGTCTGTGTTTAAGTTGCGCCCTGCAATTTTCTCGCTGAATTATCTACATCTCTAAAGTTCAGCCTTCTCATCTATACAATAAGGATAGTAAACAGATCGCGGTCTGTTCTACATTGACCACACATTCCAATTACCTGGGACTAAGGACTTTTCCAGGATGAGGAATTTTCAGTGCTAAAACCTACAAAGTCCCAGGCAAACAAAGGCACCCTATTTGTTGTGAACATCAATACAACAAATGTAAAAATTTTACGACAAATGTTAAAATAAGCACCTAAGATATTTCTCGCTAAATATCAAGTTTCTCCCTACAAACACAGGTGTCAATCTGTAGCATGTATTTTGTACGCCCACCAGTGCTACACACTTCCCCTGGCCACGCTCACTTACTAGTGTTCCTGTTCTTATCTCTGAAATCCACACAAGCAGGAGCTGAGAAGCTGCTCCCGACAGCCCTGGACACACAGGCAACTAGGCACTGGGGTGAAGTAAGAACTCAGTTTGGTTGGGGCGCGCTGCACTGTATGATTTATTTTGCCTCCTATCCGAAGTTGCAGAATTATTCTAAACAGTCAGTAGAACAGAGTGCAGGAGGTCAATGTTGAAGCCCTTGGGTCATTTTTCAAAATATTCTTATTTGAAGTAACAACCACGAACTGACACTCATGACAAGGTAGAAAGAACACGTGCTTTTCCTTTGCGGTGTCTGTCCACGATGACGTATTCAGGTCCACTAATCTCCTTTTCATCCCATTTAACCAAAGGGGACAATACATTCTACTGCTCCATTTAGCTATTCATGTCAAAGTGATGGCTTTTCATGAAGCAAAATCCATCATGCCCGACATCTGTGACCCTCCGGAGATCCATTCTGTCACTCTCTCTCCCCATCATGTTGCCGTGTCCCCTTGCCTCCTCCTGCCCTCTCTGCCCTCGGCTCATGGCTCATTCTTTATCAACCAGACAGAAGCAGTAGAGAAACCCTCGGTGCCACTAACACCCGGGGTCCTTACCTCAGTTTGCTAATCTCTGGTTGAGGAAGGACTTGAGTGCAGCCCACGACAGGGAAAAGGGTAAAACGACTGTCTCGTGTTTCAATTTAATTAGACAAATGCTTATGGAGCACCTGCTATCTGGACAGATTAGTGTTAAATGCTATCAAACACTAAAAAATGAATAACACACAATCCCTGACATTATGAAAAGAAGGGAAGGCGAGCCTGAAAAAGATACAAAGCAGGATGCGAGGAGCAGCAGGGAAGAAGCACGCGGTGCTTCCAGATGGCCACATCACGTCTATTTGCAGAACAGACCTCACAGAGGGGACAGGTGTCCCACACCTTGAACTATGCACAGGATTAAGGCCAAATATGGAGAAGCAGCATTTTAGTAGCGTAACAAAAGGGAAGAGAGTTGGGTGTGTCTAAAGAATGAAAGTCGCAGTTTTAACAAAATTTGTCAGCATCAAGGGAGTAAGTAAAGTAAAAAATGTGAATGAAAATTAGGCTGTGATCAGAACGTAGAACACCTTGGATGACAGAGTTAGTGAGTCTTAACATTATTCTGGTAGCGGTAGGAAGAAAATAGATGTTAAACAGGAGGATGACACACCAGCCCAGCTTTCAGAAGAGGAAGCAGGAAAAACTGATGGGTTAGGAGGAGAGGACTCGTCTGAGAGCAGCAGAGCAGACTGGAGAGTTTCACTCAAATGAAATGAGAGTAACAACGGCCTCCAAAGAGACAGAGGCCAAGGATGCATGTGGCCATTAGGAAGAGAAACCTACTGGGAAGTCTATTAACAAGCCGTGCGTGGGTGCGTGTGTGTGTGTGTGTGTGTGTGTGTGTGTGTGTGTGTGTGTGTGTTAATATTACTGGGGGAGAAGAGTGGAGACGGACATACTCCTTTACTGAACAACCATATACTAAATGTCTAGGACATGTCAGACACACAAAATACAGACATCAAAAGTGTGCTCCCTCCTCCCTTAAGAAAACATGCTAGTTGGATCACAGTATAAAGAGTAATTCCAACCCGATGTGATTACAGTTAAGAAGTACATAGATACCTAGACTAGTGGGTTGATAAACATCAGAGAGCTAGAAGGAAAAGAAAAGGCCAACCAAGAACACTCTAGAAAATCCCCAAGTGTGTCACAAGACAGTAAAATGTTAGGAAACTTTAGCAGAGGCCCAATGGCCACCTACTCTCTCCAAGGTTGCCCCTTCCTTTGTTTTCGGCAATTTTTAGTAATAGCACCTAGACTGCTTTTTTCAGAGAATATACAGGGCAACCATTTAAAATTATGTTGTTTGCTGATTAGAATGTGAGCTTCATTACATCTTGTTCACCATTGTACTCAATAAATATTTCATGAATGAATAAATTAAGGTATTATCATTGTTAAAACTTGTTCTTCCCCTTCTCAGAATCTCTGTCTCCTGTTCTCTCTCTCTCTCTCTCTCACACACACACACACACACACACACTCACCCCCCCACTCCTCACTGGCAGGTTTTTCCTTGAGGAGGGCAGAAGGTAAACAGGGTGGGAAGAAGGTAAACGGGGTGGGAGAGAGAGCAGAGGCATCGGGGCAGACTGTGAACTCCTACTAGTAATTTTTTTTTAAACATTTACTTACCTATTTTCTTTCATTGGACATGTTCATAGCATAGAGTTTGCTGTTTCAGTGCATGCATATATTGTATAATGATCTAATCAGAATAGTTAGCATATCTATCACCTGAACATTTGTCATTTCTTTGTGGTTGTAACATTCAAGATCCTCCTTCCTGGCTATCTTGAAATATACAATACAATATTATTGTCTTTTGTCACCTTTGAGCACCAGAACTTACTCATCCCATCTAACCATATCTTCGTAACTTTGTACTGGTCGACCAACCTTTCACATTCCCATCTCCCCCCCGCCCCACCTCACTTTCCTTGCCTCTGATAACCACTATTCTACTCTCTATTTCTTTCTCTCTTTCTTTTCCTTTTTAATTTGTTTTTCTTAATTGACCCATGATAATTGTATGTATTTATGGAGTACAACATGATATTTAGGTACATTTATGCTGTGTGCAATGATCATATCAGGGTGCTTAGTATATCCATCACCTCAAGCGTTTGTCATCTCTCTGTGCTGGGAGCATTCAACATCCTCTCAACTAGCTACTAAAGTTACACAGAAATTTGTTGTTGACTGTGGCCTCCCTATATTGCTACAGAACATTGGATATTATTCTTCCTGTCTGTCTACACTTTGTATCCACTAATCATCCTCTCTCCATCTTCCCCTCCCCTCTCCCCTTACTAGATTTTAAATGAAATATTCTAGCTTTCCCCTCTAATATTACAACTACTTCTCCTCCTTTGTATGAGAACAGTACTCATTATATACTTATATATATTTGCATTTGAATGCTGAGACAGCTTAACAAATTATTGGGTTATTAATAGGGAACCTCTAACATCAGAATTACTCAGCATAAACAAGATTTAGGACAAGTTGCATTACTCACCTGTTACAAGAAATGACAATGACAGTGGTAATTAGGATAACAACCAAAAATAAAACTGTCCCTCCAGCCATGAAGAGGACAGATTGGTGATTGGTTTTACCTAGGAGAAAAAAATATATAGCAGGAATTAAGAATTCAACTAAATCCAGAAAAAAGGAAGGTGGGAAAATGGGGAAAAGGTATATTAATCATCATAGAGTAACAATTAAAAGCAAAGAATCCATTTTTTAAAATAGGATGAGCTTAGTCTTCCAAATATCTCTGACTCCTCACAGATTTTTATTAGCTCCTTGATTAAGCCGGATTTAACACCTAAAAAGAGCGAGAATTTAGAGCATATGTTCAACACAGATATCACTTCATTCTAATAAGCTCATGATCACGTACAAAAAATCCTTTGTAGGCTGGAAAAAAAGCTATTAAAACAGTTCCATAAATGAAGATGGAAAACTTGTTACTCCAACTCCATGTTTAACTGGAAATTTACAATGGTCCAGGAATCTGAACTACTCATCCGGGGTCTTTCTCTATCGGGGTAATTGACCTCCAGCAAATTCCTGATGCTTCATTGTAGGTGTTTCTCCATCTATCAAGTAATGACAGTGACAGCAGCTCTAATTATATCACATAATTGTGGTGAGAATCTAAGAAGTCAATATTCAAAAGACGGATGAATCACTGTTCCAGTAAGATCTCCTCTGGAGGAGATCCCAGGGAAGTCAGAGACCATTTGCTCTTTCGGTTATGTCCTCCTGTCCACGGTACACCTCGCCCACCTGCAGCCACAGAGGACTCCATTAAGTGCTTCACACATAGGAGAAATTCCATCAATATCTGCTGCTGGAGGGAATGGGATTGGATTGAAACCTAACAGTTGTCTTTATTGTCATCTCTCTTTGGGACAGCAAACTTGCCGATCTCCCCCCACAGGAGGAGCCAGGCTGTCAGAAGACAGATCCCTCCCTCATGATACTGAAGCTCAGATGCTTTTCCTGTGATTCCCAGGCTATCTGAAATCCCATTGCAACCCGAAAATCAAGCTCCTCAACCAATTCATTGCCATCTTTTTCTCAGATATATTTTTCTTTCTAATCCGCTAAGTAGGTGCAATTTTTTCTTCGTGATAAGAACCCAAAGTCTAAACCCACTCATTCTTTTATAGGCTCTACTGTAAAAAGAAACTAAAACAAATAAAAAATGTTATTTTTATTTTTAAAACTTTTACCCTAGATTCCACATATAGGTGAGATCACAGAGTATTTTTCTTTCTGTGCCTGGCTTATTACACTCAACATAACATCCTCCAGGGTCATGCAGGCTGCTGCACATGACAGGATTTCCTTTTTGTTAAGTCTGCATAGAATTCCATCGTGTACATATCCCACACTCTCTTCATTCATTCATCTGTTGATGGAAACTTAGGTCACTTACATACCTCGGCAATTGTGAATAATGCTTTAATGAACATGGGTGTTCAAATATCTCAAGACACTGATTTTATCTCCTTTGTATATGTACCCAACAGAGGAATTGCTAGGTCATATGACAGTTCTATTTTTAATTTTTTGAGGAACCTCCAAATTGTTGTACATAGTGGTTGTACCAATTTACATTCCCACCAGCAGTGTACCAAGGCTCCCTCTTCTCCAGACCCTCACCAAAACTTGTTATTTCTTGTCCTTTTTGATAATAGCCATTCTAACAGGTGTGAGGTGGTATCTCATTGTGGTTTTGATTTGCATTTACCTGATTATTAGTGATGTTGAGAATCTTTCCCTATGCCTTTTGGCTAGTTTTATGTCTCCCTTGGAAAAATATCTATTCAGGTCCATTGCCTGTTTTCAAATTTGTTTTTTGTGATGTTGTTGTTGTTGTTGTTGTTGTTGTTGTTGTGATATCCAGCCATTTGAATAGCATCTTTTCTTATACCTGTTGTCTAGTTTTATGTCTTCTTTGGAAAAATATCTATTCAGACATTGTTTTTGGTTCTGATATCCTGTCATTAGTGACAGCATAGATTAACCTAGAGGACATTGTGCTATGTGAAATAAGCCAGACACAGAAAGACAAATACTGTATGATCTCACTTGTATGTGAAATCTAAAAAAAGTCGAACTCATAGGTGCAGAGAATAGACCAGTGGTTGCTGGGAGCTAGGAGGTGCAGAAAATGCATCAAATGCAGGCGAAAGGGCTCAAACTTTGGGGATGAACAAGCTCTGGGGATCTAATTTACAGCCTGGGTGGTGATGGATGTATTAGTTAATTTGATTATGGTAATCATTACACATTGTTTATATATATCGAATCATCACATTGCATACCAAATATATTCAATCTTAATGTGACAATTGTATATTTAAAAGATTTTTAAGAGCAATAGGTTTCTAGTATTTTCCAAATTTTCTAAATGATGTTTTAACTTTTGTAATCAAGGGGGGGGGAAAGCAGTACAAAAATGTAAAGGTCTGGATGCTCAAAACAGAACATCTGCCAAATTTTATTCGTTATATTTAAAGTGCAGGATGCAGAGACCTTCTTAGTAGCAGACTCAAAATCCTTGAGAATTAAGATGACATTCTTTATTAAGCTCTACATTATGTGGGCTTAGAAAAAGAATCCACTTGAAAGTACAACCATTTGTGTCATGCTGTTTAATTATAAATTCTGACTTCAAATGCATTTTGAAACATGTTACTATTTTTCACCTGTCCTAGTAATATTTGACCTGCTGGAATTAGATCTGTTTATTCATTCAGTCATTAAACACAGTATTTTACAGTGTACCATGTACCTGGTACGATAGATAACGTGGCGGATAAAAACAAATTTGATACCTGATGTAATGGAGCTTATATTGTTTTTGAAAAGTCCTAAACAATTTTAAAACAGGAGTGAAACAAGAATTTTTCCTTAAGAAATGAGTAAAATCACAGGGGTCAGATATTCAGTCCCACTCCAGAGATGCTGCAATCTAGAGCATCCCAGCCTGTAGTTGGTACTGATTCTCACTCCTTTTCCTGCCTCTGCTGCTTTCATGTGAATGTCCAGAACTTAAAATCAGGCCTGTGTAGCCATGCACCTTGCTGGGTCCTGTATGGCTGGGGGGAAAGAGAAAAAGGAAAAAGGAAAAGGAAAGGAGGCAAATGGGTATGGATGCTTTGGGGAGTTAATCAATAGTTCATAACCTTCACTTTTTTCCTTAAGCTCTGCTAATAGAACTTAGGCTAAGTAATGCCAGCCTTCAAGCCCTTCTCTTAAAGAAAGAATTGTCTGATTTTAGGGGCCACTTTTTTGCTGGCTTTTTTCACTTACATCCCAATGCTGTGTTGATTCATCGGAGGACAAAAGTGTCTTGAACCATAAAACCATTATTTTTCCTCCCATCACAAAAGATAAATACAGTTAAAACCATTGAAAGCAAGTCAGTGAAACATATAAATGAATAAT